TTGGTGAATTAGCTCAAGAGTTTTTGAAGACAGGCGTTTTTTTTGTGGCTATCTCTCTCTTGGCGTTCCTCGCACAATCATGGAGGTGCTGAACCAGTCGATCGTATTCCTCGTCAATGTTGTCAACAATGGCATCTTCTTCCCGTGTTGCCACAATAGTGTCAAAGAGCTCCCAGTTGGTGGTCGTTCTGGGAGTTCTCTTTTTAAACTTTGCAGCCCTTTCTCCCGGCTCTGTGAAGTAGAATTTTGCATGAAGGAGACGGTGGTCCGATCCTGTTCAGAATTTTGGGACAACAGCGACATCAGTCAGGCAAAACCGTCGATTGAATATGATGTGGTCTATTTCATTGTGGAATCGTCCACCGGGAGACTCCCATGTCCAGCGTTTAGATTCTGCCTTCTGGAACTGTGAGTTACCATGAATGGTCTTGGTAGACATGATGAACTCAGACAGTCTCTCACCCTGTTCGTTCCATTCTAAGCCATGGGTCACGATGTGAAGTTCTTCAGCTGATCTTCTTGGTCCTATCTTGGCATTAAAATCACCCACAATGATCTTGTAGAAGGTGTGGTCTTCTTTATAGAACTTCTCCAGCTCCATGTAGAACTTCTCAATTTCTCTTTCATCATAATGAGATACTGGTGCGTAGACAATGAAGATAGAAACTGCCAGCAGTGAGCCACATCAATTCAAATGTAAACGTCCGATTCGGGTTGTTAGGCATTCGAATGAATCAATGCTCATGGCCAAGTTTATGTTGACAAGGACACCAACGCCTCTGACACCTCTTTTATCGCATGTTCCGAGGAACAATTCTTCTCCAGTGTCAAAAACGGCATGGTGAGATTCGTGCCTTCTTGTCTCGATCAGACCAATGATGTTGTACTTGATCATTCGCGCTTGTACCATCAGGTCCTCAATGGATGCATCTGATGCTAGTGTACGTGCATTGAAAGTACAGGCGATCATTTTTGTCTTCCTTCGTTGTGGCAGCCTAGTTCGGCCTTGAGATTTTATCGGCCTCTCCTTTCTCATCCTTCTCAGTGCTGCCTTGTCGGTGAAGCCTTCAGGGTCAGGTGAATGAGACCAGTTGTAATTACTGGTTTTGGCGTATTGAATACACAACGGATAGCTTGCCAGGCTCTTCCGTGCGGGCGGAATACTCTCGGCAGCTTGCCAGTCTTTCCGAGAGGGATAGAGGCTTTTGGGGTGACCTCTAATCGCCCTTATAGGTGTTACCATATTTGAACCCTATCAAATATGGTACGGCAATTCCGGAAGATGGGTATTTAGTGTCTTATGATGTGTCCGGAACGCGTCCTGGAGTGTGGCGGTGGCTGGGTAGTGGAGGTAGTGTTGGTAGTGAAGTTCTGCCAGTGGGGTATTTATCTGGTCCCAGTAGGGGTAGGGTGGGTCTTCTGTGTGCAGTCCGATCCCCGGGTCTCTAGTGGTTGGTTGAAGCAGACAGGGCAGTGTAGGGTGGGGCTCCTGATTAGAATCCCTTTGTCACCTGTGGTTGGTGGGAGCAAGCAGAGTATCTCTCTCCCTGGGTCCGTTGAGCCTGGAGTCCAAGGTCTCAGAGAATTCCGCTTATCTTGTTCTGTGGGTCTCCAGTCGTGCGTGAGTCTTGGCCGGAGCTGCCACGCGGGTCCGGAAAGCGTCCTGGAGTGTGGCGGCGGCTGGGTAGTGGAGGTAGTGTAGACCGTCGTGAGACAGGTTAGTTTTACCCTACTGATGATGTGTTGTTGCCATGGTAATCCTGCTCAGTACAGAGGAACTGCAGGTTCAGACATTTGGTGTATGTGCTTGGCTGAGGAGCCAATGGGGTGAAGCTACCATCTGTGGGATTATGACTGAACGCCTCTAAGTCAGAATCCCACCCAGGCAGAATGATACGGCAGCGCGGCGGCAGCCTCGGTGGGCCCCGGCTAGCCGGTCCCTCGCTCGTCTGGCCAGCGGGCCGCGCCTTCGCCGGCGCATCCCCCGCTGCGCGTCTGGACCGGGGTCCGGTGCGGAGAGGCGCTCGTCTCGGGAACCGGGGCGCGGCCGGAAAGGCGGCCGCCCCCTCGTCCGTCACGCAACGCACGTTGGTGGGGCACCTGGTGCTAAACCATTCCTAGACAACCTGCTTCTGGGTCAGGGTTTCCTATGAAGCTCCCTCGCTGCGATCTATTGAAAGTCAGTAGCAAATATATTTGTATTTAATAGATAAAATTTACTGATACATATATTATGTATCAAGTTGTTCATGTGCTTTATACCAATTTAACATATTTTATTGTTAGTTTAGAGTTGGGAAACAAAGTCTCTTATGGTAGCCAATTTGCCCAAAATCACACAGCTAGCCTAGAGCAGGGCCAGGGTTCAAAGCTGGCAGTTTGACTTAGAGCTCTTACACATCCACTGGGGATCCAATTTCAGATAACTGTATCCTGTTTTCTAAAATCACTTTGCCAAACTATTTTATTTTATTTCTTGCAAATGTAAATTAAGTGGAAACAGTTAAAAAAAAAGTTTTTTTTTTGTTAATTTTTCTTTTTGGGTTGGAGCCATAGCAGAGCAGGAGGGCATTTGCTTTGCCCGCAGCCAATCTGGGTTTGATTCCTCCTTCTCTCTTGGAGAGCCTGGCAAGCTACCGAGAGTATCACACTCACACGACAGAGCCTGGCAAGCTCCCCATGGCGTATTTGATATGCCAAAAAACAGTAACAACAAGTCTCACAATGGAGACGTTACTGGTGCCCACTCTAGCAAATCGATGAACAACAGGAGGACAGTGCTACAGTGCTAATTTTTCTCTTCTGGAGAGTCTTCCCTCCCATTGTCATAGGTTAGAGAAAATAGCAACTGTGATTGTTTTGTTTAGTATGAGAACATGCGTTTAATCTCATTGAGATATCCACTGCACATGTCTTTTTTTTAGACCTCTTTTACACTTTATATCTCAGCCAATTTTTTTAGGGTAGTTTATGAGTAATGCCAGTTTGCATGTATTTAGAAAAATTACATGCTTCACAAGCCTTTAAACAATTAAGGTTATATGAAGTCTTAACCTATAAAACATGACTTTGGAAGGATTTTAAAATGGAAATTATTGGGACAAATCATGCTTTCTGAAGATGTCTTTAAAAGTAATCACTCTCTTAGTTGCTCTACTTTGGTGACAGCATGGCACTTTTTGGGGTTTGTTTTTTAAGAAAACCGGGCAAAACTAATTTGCCACTAGATGGAGCACTGGCCATTTGGGTAGAAATAAATACCGTGCAGTTCAGACGTTAAATCACACAGTCATACCACGCCGAAGGAACCCCGGTATTTGAGGCCCTCAGCTTTTAATTGTAGAATGCATCTTTGTTCTTTACTTGACCTATAGAGTGACATCACTCCCTTTCTTCCTGTGCGCTGGCTTTGACATAAGCCAGATGGCTGTGGCCATCGGTAGGCGCGCAGGCTGCCTGGTACAGCAGTTGATGAAACAGAAGAGGAAGACATTTATGGTCAGCTTTGGGAGCACAGTGAGACTGCAGCTTGGCTAAGTAATTACATTTACCGTGCACACTTTATTTCTTGAGGATGAAGGTCACAAGAAAGAAATACATTTTTATTTATAGTGTTGTGAGTTACAGACCTTTGATCTTTTATTAGTCAGTAGTCTGCTCCAAAGGAATGCTCTCTTTTCCCTGCTCTGCAGTCACTCGTGAAAATGACATGTTTATTTATGTTTAATGGTTCTTTCAGGCTGGGCATTCTGATACTTACCTTCCCTCTTCCTCCCTTTTGTCTCCAGTTAGTAACACAAAAATGTTTTAGTTTTGTAGTGAGTTTAGTTTGGAGAAGTCAGAGTTCAGGCATGTTAATACAAACAGATTTCTGTCAGATATACTCCAGAGTGAGTTGGTAAAATAGATTACTGTTTATTATGTGTTTGTTCTTAAAGGAGGTCAGGAAAGTCCAGGAACAGACTTTTATTTCGAGGGAGACGAGGGTCAGGAAGTGAACAAGATATTAATTTTACATCCAGTTTTGGAGATGGAGTGCTTAAGGTCACTTGCAATGTTAATTTTAAGTAAAATATTACAGATTCTTATTATAGCATTTCCATCTTCTTTTGAAATTGTTTTTATCAATTAAAATTTTTATAAACATTAAAGAAAATCTAAGTTTTTCACTGAACTTAACGTTCTCATGATTTTTCAGATTAATCTGTTAATAATTCTGTTTTATTTTTTATTTACAAAAGCTTTAAATTATACTCTAGCCTTTTAAAGGTTAGTTTACTATTATTAATATAAGTGATATTGATATGATAGATAAAATCAAATGAAAGCTCATATTATGCTTGCTTCAAATATAATACTTTTTTTCCCTAAAGTGAACTCTTCTAGTTACCGTTATTATTTAGCTTTCTAATTTTTTAAAATGAAACAAAGGAAATCTTCTAGTGTTAGAACACTTTAGTCTTCTTCAGGGAAAGAAATTTGCAAAATTTTTTGAAGAGAGAATGATATAAAGAAAGTATGTGACTTTATATTCAGATTAAACAAGAGTTTTGTAGACTTTTTCCTCTGGCTATATGTTTCATGTCTTTGGCCCCTTTCAACTTTGATTTTCTCAAATATGTATTGGGGGATAATACCTACTTCATAGGTTTATTGTAAGAATTAAATGATGCAGTGTTTATGTTAGGTCCTGGACAAGTTCTGTCAAATTCATTAAATGACAATTCCTTTCAACTATTTAAAACTTCATCGCTTTCCTCAGCTTCTTACAAAATATGTTCACAGAGTACATTGCAATTTTTATGTGCATGCTAGTCATAAAATAGAAAAAAAGCCTGGGTTAAAAGTGAGTCACCATCTGAAAAGTAGGTATTTAAAATTTGTTAGCATTATGTGTGTGTTCAGTCCTTGATAAAACTGTAAACATCAATTGTGCGATGAATGTGTTTAACATGTGTGATGTTTTAATTTTTTTTTGTTTTCTTTTTTCTCTTACTCAGCTCTTGCCCCGTACTTTGCCTTTGGTTTTGTTGGTGAAGATATCACAGTGATGTCTGCATTCAACCTGCTGCATCTGGTGACAAAGAGCCAGCCGGTGGCCCTACGAGCTTGTGGGCTGCCCTCAGGTTGCTGCTGCTTCTACTATACTTAGTAAGGGCCCTGGTCAGAATGGGTGTTTCTGCTGCAGGAAATGGCACACCATCATGCTTTGCTAAATTTCATTTTTTTTCACTTGGAGCCTTACCTGAAGACGGAAATTGGTTATAAATCATTCTACTTTGAGCAACATTCATTTTCAAAGTTTTGACAATCTTGGAAAGTGTTGCCCAGTTTCCTTGTTCAGTTTATGATGGTCACTAATATTTCCTGATGTCTTCTCATTAATTCCCATTACACACCTGAAAACCATAAAGTTCATAAGTTCCCAGTAGTCTTTGTAAGAAACTGGCCCCAAGTCACACAAAATAAGACACTTATCTTAGAAATGACAGAAATGCATTTCACTCCACATGTGATAATCCCTTTAGGAAAAAAATAGTTAAAATGAACCACGTTAGTCTATATGGTTAAAAAAGAGACATTCAGCTTAACACTGATCGAATGTGGTTGACACTTGGACAGCATGAGTTTGAACTCTGTGGGTTCACTTATCTGGGATTTTAAAAAATGTTGTAAGCAGATTCTGTAAACCTGTGGTATTGATAATTTAGTAGAGGCTTACTATTTCTTTTTCTTATGCTTTTAGTCAACAGTGGGCTATTTTTAATTTGGGATGAATCAAAGTTAATATGCACTGGAGGTGGGGGAGTAGGGAAGTATTGATACTACTAGCCCTTGAGTTGTCCAGTAATCAGCAGTAAACAACCAGTGTACTTGTGTCTGTACATGTAAAGACACAGAGTTACTGGTTCTTAAATTAGAACCATTAATCTTAAAAACTGATTTTAAGCAAATGAAACATGTAAGTCCACAATTATATTTTATGCTTGTATCTCTAGTTTAATATTTTAATTTTATTATGTAAATATTGACCTCTTATTGTCTAGTTCTCACTCTCAGAGAACCCAGCAGGCTACCGAGAGTCTCCTGCCCGCATATATGCCTGATTGGAAACACCTGTAAAGGTGATTAGAGGCTGCCCTCAAAGCCTCCATCCCTCTCGGAGAGCCTGGCAAGCTACCGAGATTATCCTGCCCACATGGCAGTGCCTGACATGCTACCTGTGGCGTATTCAATATGCCAAAAACAGTAACAATGATGGTCCTCATTCCCCTGACCCTGAAAGAGCCCCCAATATGCCATTGGGCTACACTAGCACGTGACAGGGATGAATGGAGACATTACTGGTGCCCGCTCAAGCAAATTGATGAACAACGAGGTGATAGTAATAGTGATAATGATAGAGATATTATGTGAATCACATGGCCAGATATTTCTATGAGCATAATTGTTGGTATTTATATTTTTATGACTTTACATGAGTCTCTGCCATTTTTTTTTTGGCCTTACCTGGTGGTGCTCTGGGACTACATCTGGCTCTGTGCTTGGGGGTCTCTCCTGGTACTCAGGGACCATGGATTAAACCCAGGACTTCAGCATGCAAAACAGGTGCTAAGCACATTAAGCTATCTCTTTCACCCATATATGCTTATTTTGTATAGAGGAGGGCTTTTTAAACTTTTTCAATTCACGACCCCTTTGCCCAAGATATTTTTATCTGACCACGGGTACGTAGGTATGTAAAATCGGTGTATACAAATGAGATATTTACTGATAATAAATCATAAAGGAATTTTATAAATTTATAGAACAAATTATAATTAGGTGATGCCCTATGGAACTCTGACTCACATTTAAAAAGCTAGGGTATAGGGAATTTAACTCCAGCCTGTTGAGTTTTGGGTATTAGTGTCAGGCATTGTTTGAGGCACTAGGGACAGAATGATAAACAAGATGAATCCTATTTTTTTTCCCTAGCTGCAGTACTGCCAGAGTATAGCTATGCTGGGTGTCACTAGAGCCACCCCAGCAATGCTTAGGAGATCATGTTGGGGATTAAACTCAAGGCTCTGTGTATGCCAGGTATGAAGTCCAACCCTCTCAGATATCTCCCCAGCCCAAGCCAATTTCTTAAGCAACTTCAAGGTGTCAGGATAGGCCTTTATGAGAACCACTGGTTCTTATGGTGATGATACTAGATAAAAATAGATTTGCGTATGAGATGCTAGAGGAATTCAGATAAGGATGGTCCTAGATCTTTGCTTAGGGGAAGACATTTTGTTGGGAGAGAGGGTTTTTGAGGTTTAAGAATGTCAAGAGTGCTTTCTTAGGATTTGTGCTTGAGCTGAATCCCAGTCTTTGAGCAGCAATAGCCAGGTGTCCAAATGGGAGGAAAGATTTCTAATATCTGAAACAGTATGGCAAAAACATGAAGGTCTGCTATGTTTAGAAAAGTGAAGGCTATTTAAAATGGTTAGTTTGTGTGAGTAAAATAAATTGAAAGTGGTGTAGAAGGAACGTACCCAGATCATGAAGAGCCTCATGTGATATCTTAAGACATTTATGTATTGGGGAAGGGATGGAGAGGGGAATAATGTAACTTGATGTGCATTTTGTGAGCACTGTTGATTTACTGTGTGATAAAGTGCTGGTTCCAGATGTTTCTGTGAGAAGGCTGTGTTGCCAAACTGATTAGAAGGGAGACTAGGACATTTACCCTTAAGTATATTTGAAAAGTAAATAAGTTACTAGTATTTTTATTATTTTTATTTTTATTTTTTTTTTTGCTTTTTGGGTCATACCCAGCGATGCTCAGGGGTTACTCATGGCTCTGCACTCAGGAATTACTCCTGGCGGTGCTCGGGGAACCATGTGGGTAGTCAGGGATTAAACCTGGGTCAGCTGTGTGCAAGACAAATGCCCTACTATCACTCCGGCCCCAATGTCTTTTTTTTTAATTTTTGATTTTAGAAAGATGTTATGCCTCTTTGTGGTAACTTTAGAGGCTAATGAAACTTGATACTTGGGTGCAGCAGCCCACTTCTCTACACCCTTGCCTCCTCTATCCCTGCAGTCTCTGCACTGCACCAGAGTGTATTGGAGGAGTCGAGGCTGGAGGGAGTCAAAAGGTGAGAGCCTTAACAGTGGCCAGCAGAGTCAGTTTGGAAAGACAAGGGAGTGGAGTTGAGATTCAGGTTGCAGATCAGCCAAGGTTTATCTGCCACATTGTAGATGGGGGCAGCAGTGTAATGTGTGTGTCATGTGGAACATTTCCCCAGCTGTGTTAATACCATAGCAGCTGGAACCTGAACTTAATTTAGTTTGTACATAACTATATTTTCCACTAAACACTCACAGTGTATGAGAACAGTAGCATCGTCCTCCCATTGTTCATCAATTTTCTCGATCGGGCCCCAGTAACTTCTCCATTGTGAGACTTATTGTTAGTGTTTTTGGCATATCGAATATGCCATGGGGAGCTTGCCAGGCTCTGCCATGCGGATGGGATACCCTCGGTAGCTTGCCAGGCTCTCCCAGAGGGGCGGAGGAATCGAACCCAGGTCAGCCACATGCAAGGCAAACACCCTACCCACTGTGGTATGGCTCCTCCCATGAGAACAGTAGTTTTTGTAATAAGAATTTGTCATAAATAGAGAAGGCTAAGCCTATAACTGATGGAATTAAAGGATATTGCAAAGAAACTAATTTCAGATATGTCTTTACAGTTTTGATATTGCAACAGTTCCAAGATAAATTGAGCAAAGCTTGATACTTGATAATTTGTAACAAGTAATCATTGAGGTTGCTTACTTTTTTCCTTTTTAATTTTTTATTGGGGGAGGTGGGTGGTGTTTAGGGCTTAATCCTGCCTCTGTGTTCAAGGATGACTCCTGGTGTGGCTCTGGGAACCATATGTGGTGCCAGGGATTGCATCTGGGTTGGCCACATGCAAGGCAAGCACTTTGCCCACTGTACTATTGCTTCAACATCATGGTCACTTATTTTTTTAAGATATATTGGAGGATTGAGGAAGGAGCCTGGGTGTAAACAAAAGATAACCATTGTAGAATAGCAGTCAAGCACGTGAATTCTGGAGACTGAATTTGAAACTGTCTTTATTGTTCCACTACCTGTGTGACCTGGCTGCCTTGTTTGTTAAAAGGGAACAAATGTAGCAGTTATCTGAAAGGGTAGAAGTGAGAACAGATAGATTAGGATGTGAAAAGTGCTTACAACAGTGGCAGTCCTTGTAGTGAACAGCATATATAAATCTTAAAGTTCACTATAGATATCTATGTCAATATACCTATTATATTTTCCTAGTACAATAGACTTAAACTTTTTTTTTTATCAGTTTACCCATTGGTTTGGGCTTGAGTGATAGCGCAGTGGTAGGGCATTTGCCTTGCACGCAGCTGGCCAGGCTGAGCCGGGTTCAGTTCTTCCGCCCCTCTTGGAGAGCCCGGCAAGCTACCAAGAGTATCTCGCCCTCACGGCAAAGCCTGCCAAGCTACCCATGACGTATTCAATATGCCAAACACAGTAACAACAAGTCTCAAAATGGAGACATTACTGGGCCCGCTCGAGCAAATCGATGAACAATGGGAGGACAGTGCTACCCATTGGTTTACAGTACTACATAAATTTACAATAGGCTTTTAAAAACAATTTAAATATGCCTCATCTTTCATTCAACTGTTTTAACTTTAATGGGCTGGAGCGATAACACAGCAGGTAAGGCATTTGCCTTGCATATGGCTGACCCGGGTGACCCAGGTTCGATTCCTTTGTCCCTCTTGGAGAGCCCAGCAAGCTACTGAGAGTATATCGCCCGCACAGCAAAGCCTGGCAAGCTACCTGTGACATATTCAATATGCCGAACACAGTAATAACAAGTCTCACAATGGAGACATTACTGGGCCCGCTTGAGCAAATCGATGAACAATGGTAGGACAGTGACAGTGACAGTGATTTCAACTTTAATAGGAACCACAAATGCACTTTGTATTTGAGAAATAATAGTCTCAATCTGTTGTTTTGATTTTTTTATTTTACTTATACATTCTGCTCAGTCAGAATCCACGTCCTATAAATATACAACATATTTTTTTATTCATACCATCCA